CCCGGTCCCGCCGTTCTTCCCGGTTTCCACCACCCCCCCCCGCCCCGGTCCCGCCGTTGTCCCCGGTCTCGTTCCCCGACATTCGGTCCTGGGGTTGAGCCCGCACCGGGTGTAGCTGCCGTTATACCGGGGTAGAAGGGGTCGTCTGGAACTCAGCCCCGAGGGTGGCTTCCGTTAAACGGGGCTGGATGCGTCCCCCTGCTTTTCCCGGGGCTGAGTACCGAGCCCTCACCGGGTGTGGCTCCCGTTAAACCCGGCAGGATGGGGCCCCCGGGACGGAGCCCACACACCGGGCATGATGCCCATTAAACCGAGCAGGATGGGTCCCCGGGACTGAGTCCCGAGCCTGCAACGGGGTGCGGTTCCCGTTAAACCGGTCAGGATGAGTCCCCGGTACCGAGCCCGGAGCCTGTACTGGGCGTGGCACCGGCTCGACAAGGCAGGATCAGCCCCCCCTTTCCCGGTACCGAGCTGCCGTCCCGCACTGGGTGTGGCTCCCGTTAAACCGGGCAGGACAGACCCCCCCACCCCCACCCCCCCGGTGCTGAGCCCTCAGCCTGTTCTGGGCGTGGCCCCGGTTTAACGGGGCAGAATGGGTCCCCCGGTGTGGGATGGGGCCTCGATGCAGTGGGGTAGGCAGGGCAGGATGGGGCCCCCCCAGTGCTAAGCCCCCCCATCCTGCACCAGAGGACAAGGCAAGGCAGGATTGGGCCCCCCACCCTCCCCCCCCCAGTCCCGCACTGGGTGTGGCCCTGATTCAATGGGGACCCGAGTGGGCAGGATGAGTCCCTGGTGCTGAGCCCCCACACATGCAAGCACAGGGTGTTGCTGGGTCTCAACAGGGTGGGTACGGCAGGATGGGACCCCCCTGGGTCTCCCCAGCTTGCCCTGGGTGTGGTCCCAGTCCCTTGGGACAGGATGAGCCCCTGGTCCTGAGCTCCTCATTCCACAATGGGCAGGGTCCCAGCTCCCTCGGGGGGTGGGGGACACAGGATGGGACCACCGGAGCTGAG